CCACCAGACATTTCCAATATAGCTTGCTTCTCCTATCATCAGAATGTTGCAGGTTTTCCACCAAATAAAGCTTGCTCCTATTTTCAGATTTTTCCTCTATTGAGCAGAAGGTTGTAAATTTGAGATATTTATTTATTTATTATTATTATAGTCCATCTGACTTGATAGTCTCAATGAAACACTTAAATCTAAATGTAGTCACTCATTAAAAATTAAAAATTGGCCAACAGCAAACGATGACGAAACATCGAGGCATTGATGTCAAAGTCAAATAGGTCAGAGGCTTCGTTGAATTGATGAATCATGGCGACAAAGGAACTGTTTGCAGCATAGTTGGTTGCATGTACTACTTCATGTAGCAAGGTTCTCGGACGGAGTGTTCGGGCAGGAGCATACAGATTAATTTTGGCCAGTAACTCAGGAACATCATATTCTGCGAGTAAAACTTTAGCAACGAAGACGACCTGCGATATGTTTCGTCGCTTAGCAAGAGTATCCAAACCCAGTAAACGACAGCGGTCAGCATACGATGGTAAATTCAGTGGGTCACTCCATGGAAGATAGTGCAGTGCGTATCTGACGAATTTGCGTTGAACAGCTTCGAATCGTCCACTCCATACAGCTTGGTAGGGATTCCAGACAACACACGCGAATTCCAGTAGTGAGCGTACCAATGAACAGTAAAGGGCTTTAAAACACAGAGGATCACGAAATTCCTTACATATCTTGAACATAAATCCAAGCTGATGATTAGCTTTGTCGATCGTGGTTGAGAAGTGAGCTTTTCATCCAACATGACATCGAGGTCTTTAACGTGATCGACACGTTGAACTGCAGTTCCAGCAACATTATAATCAAACAAAATGGCAGTCCTAGTTCGACGGAAACTAATTACGCAGCACTTTGAGACGCACAGGACCATAAAATTACGTTCACACCAATCATTAATGATTTCAAGAAGGTTTTGTAGTTCTAAACAGTCGGCATAGCCTCGAACGACTAGATAAATCTTCAAGTCATCGGCAAAAAACAATTTACCTCCACGTAGTAGAATAAACGTTACATCGTTCACAAATAAAGAGAAGAGTGCTACCCTGTGGAACTCCTGATCTGTTCGAGAAACAGTACGATGAGTAGTTTCCAATGCATACAGTAACTTCCCGTTGCACGAGGTACGATCTAAGCCAGCTGCAGAAGGAAACAGAACATCCAATTTTTTCAAGCTTTGCTAGCAGAAGACCAAACATTTTCCGAAGAGCTTGCCCATCCGTTCACCAGAACGGTGCAGATTTTCCTCCAGTAGTTTTCAATATAGCTTAATTTAAATAAAGCTTGTGCCTTCATTTACCAGACCAGTGCAAGTTTTCCACCAGAAATTTTCTGTTCATTTCATTTATCAGAGCGATACGAATTTTGCACCATAAATTTTCAATAAAGCATGTTCCTCCATTCACCAGAACAAAAAATTGTCAGTGAAGTTTGTTTCACCATGTACCTTTGTGGTGCAATTGTAAGGCTTTTCATGCACCAGAATGGTGCAAATTTTCCACCATAAATTTTCAATGAAGCTTGAATTCATCAGAATGCTGCAAATTATGCACCAGAAAACTGAATAAACATTGCTTCTACATTCACCACAGTGTTGCGAACGTTCCACCAGAAATTTTCAGTTAAATGTGCACCTCCAAATTTTTTGCGTGATTCAATTTTTCCACCAGAATTATTCATTGATGCTATTTTTACACCAGAATTATTAAATAAAAAGCTTTTTCTACAATTTACCACCACGAAGGTGAATTTTTACAACCTTAAATTTACCCTCTTTTTTTAACCCTTAACTTTGAAAAAACAAGTTACACCAGAATTTTTTCATATGTACCACTGTGGTGCAATTTTTGACCAAAATATTTCATTGAAGTTTGTCCATTCATGCACCTTTGTGGTGCAATTTTCTGACACCATCTCAAAGGAATTGACGCAATAAAAGGTTTTCAGTGCCCTTATAGCATGAAATGAAGTTATTTACCTTCAAATCAAGTTATCAAGAAATCAAGTTATTTTATATCATAATTTGGAAATGTGGAAATACACATCTTATATACAAAAGGAGTGGCAATTGCCCCCACCTTGCCCCACCCTGTGCACGCCAGTGATTATTCAGTGCTGTGGTTGTGGATAGTCGCGGGCAGTGCTGAGATTTGTCATTGTCATTGACAGACTTTCGCGTGATATTGACAAAATTGTTCGTCACATAGTCACTGACAGACTTGATCCTCAAAAAAATCTTCGTCAAAATCTCATTTATTTTTTCGTCAATGACAAAGATTCACCTGGTAACAAAAAGTGTAATTTAGTACATTCTGTGTCACTTTATTGTTATCCAAGTAGCTCAGGACGTAGATACTTGTTCACTAAAATGGATCCACGTTAATTTCGTTACAAATTTAGCTAATAAACAAATCTGCACATGTTCGTCACTGACACCATTGTCATTGACAATTGACATGGTTTGCCTTGACTATGACTGTTATCTCAAATGAGTGACCAAAGCAGAATTGTCAATATCACCATGTACTGTCGAGATTTTGCAGCACTGGTCGCGGGTAGTTGACGACTACTGCAATCTAATGAGAGCAAAATCTCACCGCAAATGTTAAATATTAAAAATACACTGCACCTAAGTCAGTCGTTCTCGGACACTTCGTAAAATCGTAAAATTTGAAATGTGTTGCGCCCCTGATAAACACGTTCTGGAAAAAATTTAAAAAGGATATATTTGATTTGACTTGCGCCCCTGTTAAGCATGTTTAAAATGATTAAAATCGTTCAATTTAAAGTGGATAGCGCCCCTAATATAGGGGAAATGACGGCTTCGGCATGCCAGACTATTTTCGGCAACCCAAATTGAAACACTATTTTCACTGGATTTTCTTACGAAAACACTTCGCTGAATGCATGCGAACGATTCTTTATGCTTTCAGCTTCAATTTGACTATATTTTTACCACTGAGAAAAAACAATCTAACAAGGTTTTCTTGAAATGAAACACACGCACTAAAAATTGCAGCTGATTTCGAGTTTCCGATAATAGAACAACAGATTTACATGCAGTTCAAATGGAACGGTTGCCGAAGAAAAACTGGTTGCCGACAATACTCGCTCTCACTAGAGAAGATTGAAGTTTTTGACAATTCTTTCGACTGAAATTGTTAGAGCAGTTGGCAGCAATAGATTGTAAACAAACCAATACTGCATATGTGTGCGTTCCTTAAAGAAAAAGGCTAAGAAAGAAGGTCGCTGCTTAAGTTGCCGAGAATACGTTAATTCCCCTACATGTCAGGGAAAAAAATAAAAAAATGTTAAATCTCGAAAATCTTAAAAATATATAAAATTTGAAATAGTTAGCGCTCCAAGTTGCGGTAAAGGTTGAATAAAAATGTTGAATTTCAAGTGGCTTGCACCCCTGGTAAATAAGTTCGGGTGAAAATTAGAAATAGCTAGTGAACCTGGTAAATAGGTTCTGGAAAAAATGAAAAAAAAAACAGTAAATTTGGAATGGCTGCATCCCTGGTAAAGCATGCGTGATAATGTTTGCAGCATTAAGCAATGTCAAAATTTATAAAATTCTCAAAAATTTCGTTTTCGAGTTTTATTTATTCAAAGGGGGGATGTTTCTCAGAGTCTTAAACTATGTTAATCATCGATCGAGTTTCCACTTGCTGCAATAACGGCCTCCGCACGCTTCCGGAATTCACGGCAGGTTCTAATAATGTAGTCTGGATCCATTTCTCTCCAGGTACGGTCAATGTTTGTCTGAGACTTGCTGTACTCGGGTGGCGTTTAGAACAGAGTAATCCAGCGGATTAAGATCGAGGCTGGATGGCGGCCACATATCCTTCGTCCAGAACGGAAGAAGTCCCTGCAACCACTTCTGAGTGTGGTTCGAGGTGTGGCACGGAGCCCCATCTTGTTGAAATACAACATTTGGCTTCGGACCGTACTGCTCTTTGATCCACGGAAGAACATACTTACTTAAAATCCCGATGTAGACCTCCGTGTTGACCTTGTCGCCTTCTGGAATGAACACCGGGTACATTTTTTTGCCATCAGAAGCCACCAATCCAAACACAATAACGCTAGCAGGATGCTTGGTCAGATACACGTTCTTGTGCTCATCGGCCACGTCTTTTACCGGAAGAGAACTAATATACCGGTCGGTTCTGGAATTTGATACGGGATCGACGGTAAACATGCTCTCGACGGTGAACAGGATTACCGGATTTTTTCGCTTAAGGAAGTTCAAGATTTTCTTGCATCGTTCGAATCGTACCTCCCGGATGCGGTTGGTAATCTTCCGTAATCTTCCTTTACGATCTTCCGTGCCTTAAAGTCACTGATCCCGCGTTACTTTGCCATTTTCCTTATTGAACGCACTGGATTCACCCGAATCTTCCTTTTGATAGCAGCGATAACCCTCGGAACCCGAGCTGACCTCGGACGACCTGTGGCCACCTTCGCGGATAGTTGTCCTTTCTTTTCTCGATCTAAAGCCCTTTTGACGGTCCATCGGGACATTCCCACGGCGATTGAAATGTCTTTTTGCGACATTTGCGCATGGGACAAATTACGAATACGCTGCAACTTCATCATGGTGCAGCTGTCAAACTAATGCTACGTTCTCACTACGCTCTATATTACATGATATAGAGCGATTCGTGATATAGCCGCTATATCACACTCGATATCAAGTAATATCCCATATAAATAAACTGTCATTCTATATTACGCACGAAGCATGATATAGCGTATATCACGTTCCTTTCGTAATATAAAGTGGAAAAGTGGTAGTTGGCATCCCGGCCTACATAGCACTGGGTGATATTTTTGTTTACAGTCCATTTGACGCATGCATGTTCTCCCCAATCAATTTTCTCATTTGCCTCCTTCAGTTGTATTCATCAATTTCCTCCTTCAATCGCAACTTGAGTTTAATTTGAATTATGCGGATTACGTTCGAGCAGCATGGATTTACGGTTTCTGCTGAGGAGATAAAAATCAGGATGCACAATCTCACTGCTAGATACAGGTAAGGGAAGTTAATCAATGTGTTAATTATGTGAAAATTCGAGTTTCAAATACTTTCCAGGAAAGAGAAAAATCTGATTGGGCCATCTGGAGGGTCGCCTTCAAAGTGGCCGTATTATGTGGAAGTGCATCGAATTCTAGGCAGCTTCCGTATCCACATTGTGGAAGAGGTTGTAGAAGAGAGCATTTCTGATACCGGTGGTGAGTTTAATTAGTTAGCTCATAACGATTAGTGCATGAATCTTTTTCCTATATATACATCTGCTCTCCCGGCAGTGCTCTTGCATATCTACTCTTCTAATATTTTATATTACAGTCGGTATTCCTACTACACGGTGTATGTTTCACATACAGCACCGAACTGTCGTCGGGATCTATTAGCTCTTGATTAGACAATTTATCTTAGTGACTTCTGTGTTGCTAACTCAAAGGCGGTGTTCCAGAAATGATTAAATCGCTGCAACAAAAGACCACCATTAAAACAAACCTCTCAAAACTCACCTTGAAAATCAACCTCAAAAAGCTCGGGCCTCCACTCATGGTATCCTATTCCACTTCTGGATAGACGAATCCTCCATGCCCTTCATTTTTTTTAGCGATAAGTGGTCGTTCTAGCGATTTGATGAAAAACAAACACACGAAGTTATAAGATTATTGATTATGTGTTCTAGACTTTGAAATCTCACCTAGTAATATTCATTCTCGATCAAACAGTCAAACTTTGCTATTTCTGCAAGAAAACGTCCGCATTGTTTACTATCGAATTCAGGAGTCTTCCGAACTAAAGCCACGGTTGTCTGAAACTGCTGGGCTATGATTGTGAAAAAGTAGCGTTTGCTTTGGCTGTTCGATTTGACCAGGATTATGCTGAGTGGATTAACTTCATCGATAGATCGATTACCTTCTGTGTTGCAGCGGATTGTCGATCTCAGTTAGGTATCCACTCCAAACTTCCTGAACTACCAGCTTAAACATTTCTTCCTTATAAGCTGTCTGTTTCACAAACTGTAATGAAATTATTCATAAAAAAGATCTAATTAACGCACTAAGTGTGGGATGCCTCCATTCAGTTGAAGGTCGTTTAAATTAATTTATAATAACTTTGTCGAATGAAACGATTGCTAACACAAATAAAAAAAAGGAACCAAAAATATATATATTTAGTAACGAGAATATTTCGTTTCACATTCAATATTATGATTAGTTTATATGATAGATTGTTTTTTATACCAAGCGATGTGGAAACAAGATCGAAAACACGAATATTTATTTACATTTCAATTAATAATGTTTTGTACATTTTTGAGCTAAGGGATCGTCTATTAATTATGTCACACTTTAAGGGGGGAGGGGGGGGGGAGGGGTGTTTGGAAACTGTGACGCGTTATTATGTTTCTACATTTCAGATGCGACTGAAGAATGGTTGGAGAATGAACACCCTTGTAGTGGATCGGAAATCTCTCCGACACCATCTTCATCTAGATCTCCATCGTCGTCGGGACGCTCAGCTGCGACGAAAAAAAAGATCGTCAATCAGGATATTCTCGATGAGGTGAAGAGGATCAACGCAATAATACAAGCCGAGTTCGAGCGTGTTCGAGATACTGACGAGAGATTAATTGGTTTAGAAACCGAAAGAAACGAACTGCTAAGGGAGATGAACGAACACGTGAAGCTATTCAATGAGACGTTCATTAATATGATGTCAAAGCTTTCCTGAGCAACTGATAGTTATTTGAAGAAATCCCTTCAACACATTCCTTGATATGGTTGTTCTGGAGTGGGAACGAATTGAAACATTCGCAGCGGAGAACTCTCCAAACTTCCTCGCAAAACTCCAGGACAATGGCGCAAACCGTGAATTTTCCTACTCCAAACAGGTTGGCAATAGTGCGGTACTCCGATGATGATCCTAGTGCATAGAGCGCTATTGTGACTCGTTTTTTGACGGGAATGCAGTTTCGCAACGGGGTGTCTTGCTTTTTCAAGGTTATCATTTTTGTGCACAACAACTCGAACGACGATATATCAACCCGGAAATTTTCTTTAAAAAAATGTTCTCCGTTCTGCTGAGCATCCTCTTTAGACGAGGCTCGGTAGCTCAGTGGTTACCGTTTCTGCTTACTGAGCAGAAGGTCGGGAGTTCAATCCCAGGCCCGTCCCCTTCCTTGCAATTTTTCAATTTGCCTTGTTCTATACCGACTAGATTTTAATGAAAACAAATTCTTCTTCAACACCGATCGCATCACTTACCACAGTGTGGGTCCTGATCTAAAAATAGAAATTGGATGAGTGCGCGCGTGCGTGTGTGTGTGTGTGTGTGTGGTTGTGTATTATAATCGCTCTACCAAAAAACGATCCCTGCGTGTGCGTGCAACCACGTCAACACATTCCTTCCCATTCCCTAGTTGACCTGCATTCGGACACGGCCGGCGCTGGTATTGCTAAATATTAGATCTCCAGTTCTTACACATTGAGGATGAATGTTAGTCCCAAACATCATCTATTGGTTCTCTGTGTAATTGCAGCTGATCTGGTAATAACAGAGCAGCAACCGTGGGCGGTCAATCTGCTTCTGATTCTGATTCTTCGTTCTGCTGAGCATCCTCTTCATAAAACCGTCCAGTCCTTTTCTGAAATACATACTAGTTGAGTAATTTCACAACTCCTATCGAAGATGATATAAAAGAAAGTGATTTGAAAGCGAATTCCAGAAAATAATTTCTTATAAGAGAAAGAAAAACAAAACTGAATGGTTACCGTAATGCACCGAAATCCAGACACATTTTAAAGTTGATTAGTAAAGCTTACCAAGCTCAGAACAGCACGTAAATTTTGCTATGACTTTCTGTCATCGTTTCAATTCATCACAAATGTTTGTTATGTAGTCTGGATTAATGGACTGTCTGGTATTCAGTGCATTGCGGTATCAGTGAGAGAAACAAATTCTCATCGAAGAAATTGTGCGCCGGAATCTGCCTTCTGATAAATATTTAATATTCTTACCTTGGTCCACACCGATCGAGGTTCAGTATTGCCGGAAATCTCAGACGACAGCGTAACGATCGTATTTTGCTGTATAATAATATTGTTCATATGCTGTTGTCGCTTTCGCCTGTTTGCCATTTCCTGCGCCGACACCAAGCGATACATGTTGGACGCTCTGGACATGTTTAAGAAATATTGCATGACAATCGAAGAAATTACTTGTTTGTTTATCTGTTCGTAAGCCATTTTAATCATTCACGTACCACCACGCACCATCAGGAAACAAAACTGACCGCTAAACTACGACGAAACAAACCTCCTCAAAATATGTTTTCATCGATGACAGTTGTTTAACAGAAACGTCAATATGTCAAGCTATATCACGTTTGTGTAGTGTGAACACCCTACTTGATATTGAATATCATCTCGGTATATAACGTGATATAGAGCGTAGTGAGAACGTAGCATAAGTAAATCATTTTCTTTTACACACAGCCTACTGCGGTATGAGCTATAGGTTACGTGCATGCAAAGAAAACCAAGGCATTGTATGCACAGGTGAAACGGGAACCTTATTTGTACGGTGGTGCAATCATTATCACGCATACGGTAGCAGTGACGGTAATAGATATCCAGGGTTGAAGTTCTCTGGGTGGTTCAGTATCGCTCATCCTCACCCACCTAAAAACTCGCAAAATTTCTGAAAGAAAATTTAAAAAAAACTACACGGGACAGCCCTATGGGGTTGTACGCAATGGTGACGTAGGACTACGTAGTCTTATACTTATTTGCTAACTGCAGCAGGAGCTTGTGTTTTAGGTTGGAATAGGAATTTGAGTAGTAAAGTAGTAAAATGTTCGTTTATTTCTGTTGTTTATGATTTATACATTGATTTTCCAGGTTAATTGATTAGCCTATCTGGCTCTTCATCTTTGTTCATTGGATATTTGGATAATTGGATAATTTACTATTTGCGTATTTCATCTAGTTAGCAGAATACCCCTTGGGGAGTGTGTTTTGTTTTAATTGAAAAATTTGATAACCTACCTAACTACGACTCTAACTTAACCTAACGTGCCAGATCACGTATGATCTGATGATCTGATCTCAGACAGGTGTCTCTGAACCTTTCCATGGTGACCGTTCGTCGCTCTTCGAGAGGCTGAAGACCAGCCAGGCGGTGGACCTCAGAATTGCGGGTCCGTGGAGGACTGTTTAGGATCATCCTAAGGATCTTGTTCTGGATCCTTTGTAGTTTGAGGTGATGGCACATAGCACAACTCTCCCAGATTGGCGTTCCATACTCAATGGTGGGGAGGATGATTTGCTTGTGGATGGCAAGCTTGTTTTTAAGGGAAAGGGTGGACTTCCTGTTGATAAGTGGGTAGAGCGACCTAATCAAGATGTTGCACTTGGTGGATGTTTTGTCCACATGGGACCGGAATAGCAACTTGCTGTCAAGGGTGAGACCAAGGTAGACGACTTCACTCGACCATTCAATGGGAGTGTTATCAAGGTGGACTTTTGAGTTAGCTGGCGGAACAAGCCGGGGTGAATTGGAGTGTGGAAACAGGATGGTCTGTGTTTTAGCTGCATTGATACAAATCTTCCAGCTTTTAAAATAGTCGGACAGAACATCCAGGCCTGATTGGAGTTTTCTTGTCAGAGCACGGATCACTCGACCCTTATAGATGATGGCAGTGTCATCCGCAAACATTGACAAAATACCACCACCCGGAAGGGGAGGAACATCTGACGTGAAGATGTTAAAGAAGATAGGACCAAGGAGGCTACCCTGGGGAACCCCAGCATCAGCGTTGAACGTATCAGAAGGAGAATTGTTCAAGAAGACCTGGAATGATCTGCCCGACAAGTAGTTTTTGATGATCTTCACGGGGTAGATCGGAAAGTTGTATCGATGCAGCTTGTACACTAGGCCATCATGCCAGACATTGTCGAACGCCTTCTCGACGTCCAACAATGCCATGGCAGATGTATTGGAAACGGACTTGTTCCGCTTGATGATGTTACTAACCCGTGCGAGTAGGTGGATGGTAGAGTGGCCTTTCCTAAATCCGAATTGTTCTTTGAGAAAGATGTTATTATCATTTGAAAACACCAGCAGACGGCTGAGTATCAGTTTTTCGAATAGCTTCGAGATGGATGACAAGAGGCTGATGGGGCGATAGCTTTTGGCACTGGTAGGGTCTTTGCCAGGTTTGTGAATTGGAATAACTTTGGCTAACTTCCAGCATGCAGTGAAGTAGCCAAGCATTAAACACTTGTTGAAGACCACTGCAAGGTGCTTGAAGAAGTCAACACTCAAGTTTTTCAGCTCGAGGTTGACCACTCCATCAACACCAGCGGCCTTCATGTTCTTTATTGATTTAATCGCTGCTATCACCTCATCAGCCGATATTCTACTTTCGTCAGGGACAACTAAGGGGGTGGCAGCGACTCTAGACATTGCCTGTGATACAGCAGGCTCGTGGGGACTCACCATGGCGTGGCCAAGGTTATGTGAATTTACAAAGTGTTGTCCAAGAGCATTGGCCTTTTCAAATGGGGTTATTAGTAAAGAAGGGTCCGAATTTTGGTTAAGAGAGGAAAGGGGAGGAATGAGCTTCGGCTTATTTTTCAAAATCTTTACCATTTTCCAGAATGGCTTAGCACAATCTGGGAGAGAGCGAATCTTGTTTGCAAAATCGATATTTCTGAGATCCACCTTGGATGATTTTGTTCAGACGGTTGCAATTGGTCTTCAGGTTAGGCAACCCAGTACGCTGGTACTGCCTACGAATCGTGTTGCGGAGTCTAATGAGGTCTTTAGTAGGCCTGTCAAGGTTCAGAGTATTACTCACCTGTCTGGATACTGGCACATGTAGCTCCCTGGCCCGGGAAATTGCTTGATCGATGGAGCGCAGACACCGGTCAACATCTTCGGACGATTCCGGTTGGACATCGTAGTCTACAGCGGTGTCGACGCAATGTTGGAACTGACCCCAGTCAACACGATGATAGTTGCGCCGGAAAGCTTCAAATCGATTTACGGAGGATCCCACCTCAGTCACCACCGGGTAGTGGTCCGAGCTGAGTTCCTGATAGGTGATAGGTTGAGCGATGTTGTTGCCCATATTGCTGATGAAGATATCGATGATAGCGTGAACACCGGACCGACTCAACCGGGTGGGAGTTTCCGGACTCAAGATGTTGTACTGCGCTTCCTGCAGGTCGTTGTTCAGGATGGTTCCGTTTTGATTGCGCCGATTGTTGCCCCAAGCTTGATGTTTGGCGTTCAGGTCGCCAGCGATGATAAAGTTATCCCGTCGTCGTGTTAGCTTGATAATATCTCGTCGCAGATCTGCTGCCGATCCGTCCCTGATGTTGACTTGTTTGGGGCAGTAAGCCGCGACGATGGTGATGGGGCCGATAGGAGTAGAAACTTCCACCCCTACGGCTTCGATGATCTTCAGCTGAAAGCTGGGCATCAGTCGACAGCAGATGTTTCTCCTTAGTGCAATAGCCACTCCTCCTCCTCCAGAGTTGGTTCGATCTAGCCTCACGAGCCGGAAATCGGGAAGGTAGACGTTTGTTTCAGGCTTCAGGTGGGTTTCAGTTATGATGGCAATGTCGATGTTTCGTTCATTGAGAAACTCAACAAACTCGATGTTTTTGCTCTTTAAGGAGCAAGCGTTCCAATTTACGATCTTGATGGCTTCACGGTCCATACTT